GTAAAAGGACCGAGGGTGTTAGGAAGCCGTTAAACGACAGTAAAAGTTTCCTACGGGGCAACAAAACCTGACCAGAGAAACCGGTTTAAATAAAATAATCAAAAATTCTAATCCATACAGCAATAATCATTACTATCACACATACAGCTTTACAAATTCATATTCAGAAGGTAAAAAAAGATCAAAGTCAAAGAGCCAACTTTTCTTTTGTTCCTGTTATAACTGGATACACAGTCAGATTGGAGGAAAGCGCAGGTAAAAACAAATAACACAAAACAATAAACCACAAACACGTAGGTGGACAAGGTGGGTTTTTAAAACAGCGGGAAGAAAAATAACACTTGCATATTTTATATTTAGTTCAACAAAATCACACTGAAGACATTGAAAGCTACAGCTGAAAAGGATTTCTTTCATTTATGTGTCAGAGTTTTTGCAGTTTCTATTGTTTGAGGCACTTAAATGTTAAAATTCATTAAATCTATGTAAATAAATATAAAATCAGAATGGAGTTAGTTTAAAAATATGCACATAAGGCATAAATTAATGATTTTCACTCCTCCCCGACACACTTTTAGTTTACTTTACACTTCTGTTGTGACAAACTGCCAACTTTTTTACTACTTCACATACTTATCTGTTAAAATACTTAACTATTAAAAGTTTTTCCCCAACAACTGTTAGTGAACAGGCAGAAAATCACAGGGAGAGGAGCTGGATGGAGACCCCGGGCCTCACGGGGCCTCTGTGACGGCGCAGAGAGGAGGCGAGGACAGACGGGGTTCATCTCTACAGCAGCAAAAAGGAGTTCAAGATTTTTAAAGGTTTAACTTTGCTGTGATGAAAGTGACATAAATCAGGCTCACAGGTAGGCGACACCTGAGTGAGTCTTCAAAGGCTTACATCTGTTTTCTCGTTTATCTTCTAAGTGTTTTTAGTGTTTGTGGAGGGCAGGGTAACAAAAGGAGCCCAATGGTAAAAGAAGAAAAACAAACAGAAAGAGGAGCATCCTGTTTGTCCCTCCACTCCCTCTATTTTCAGACTTTCTGGTGGATTTGTGTGACCAAATGGAGCCGCTGACCTCTTCCTGCGGCCCTTAAGTCATGAGCAAACGGCGAGGGGAGCTGGATGTTGAGCTGCAGCGAGGGTTAATCGCCCTCTGTCGGACGAGACGTAGTGGCCTCGTATCTTTCATCTGACCCTAGGCAGCTAAACATAACCATCGTAATCACCCAGAGAGATTTTCGTCTTCTTCTTCTCTCCCTGTTCTTTCATTATATAGAGGCAATCACGAACTGCTTCTCCAACTTTTCATCTGAATCATCTTTATGCCTGAGACTGAAATGCTAAATAAACATTGGGTTGGCGTTAAAACGCAGAGGAATCCAGCCAGTATGCTGACACTGACGCTGGAATAACATTGATTTATAGCTGCTGTAATTGTGATTGGTTGAGCATCTGTTTCTCTGACAAACAACGTTGAGGCAACACATAAACCTCCTCTGTAAATATGTCAGGCCAGTATTTATTTATTTTCTAATGTCTTAAAAACTGAATATTCATCAAACACATGCATTTTATTTTTACTTACACTGTATATGTAATCATTCGTGGTTTTATTAAACACCTCTAACACTTAACCAACTAACATAACTAATGACAAATAAAACATGAATTATTTTACACCACTGCCCTCAAGGAAGTAACACTAACTTTAGTCATCTCAATTAGCTTACCAGTCAGACAGTATCAGTTAGCCTGGACTGGTTAAGTTACCTAGGATCAGCTAGGTTTGGCTCACTCAGTTAAGTTTGCTACTATTTCAGTTATCTAGGATCTGTTAAGTTAGCCAAGATCATTTAATTAAAACTGGCTATCTTAGCTAGTATCAGTTAGCTAAGACAGATTAAGTTAGCTAGGATAAGCTAGGTTTAGGATAATGAAAGTTAGCTAAAATTACTTAAGTTAGCTAAAATAGGTTAAGTTAGCTAGAAGAGGTTAAGTTGACTGGTATCAGCTGGCTTGGACCAGCTAAGTTAGCCAGGATCAGTTAACTAGGATCAGCAAGGTTTGCTAATCTTTGAATTATCATGGTTCAGTTTACCAAAAAGCAGTTGTGTTATTTAGGATCAGTTAAGGATAAAATAAGTTAGCAAAAATACTACTACTAACAATTTTTTAAAATTATTTTCTACTGTAGTATAGTTATATTTCAGTTGCTCTAACAAAAGACTTGAAAAATGTTTTCTTTAAACTTGTTAGCGAGGATCATTTAGCTATGAAGAGCTGAATTTGCTAAGATTATTTAAAAGGGATCAGGCAATGCGCAAAGGGAGTCTATTTTAAGGTAAAAAGTCAAAAAATCTGAAGAATAAGACAATGTGCTGCTTTCGTATGTTTTCATGTGCTGTTTTGGCTTTTTGTAAATGGTTTACTTTTGCGTTTCTGGTCTGACTCAGCAGAGTGACTCAGTTACAGCAGCAGGACAAGAGCAAACTCTTTAAAAATGACAGAAATAGAAATTATTCTTGATTTAATGGACACAATACGTGTTAGAGCCTATTTTTAAAGTTAGGTTAAATGTATTTATTCACCATAAACTGAACATAAACCCTAGCTGCACATGAAGCAGGACGAGCTGGGTTTAATGTGCCACGCCATCACGGCCTCACAGACACAAAAACACTAGAATCGGACTCCTCGTCACTCATTCAGGAGGTTTCTGCATCTCTGCGCCCCCTCCCTCCGTCCCTCCCTGCATCCCTCCACATTCACAAAAGGACCCTGAGAGGTGCCCCTGTCGCTGCCCGGTCACAAAGGGCCTTCGGGGGCTGCTGTGTAATCTCTTAATGAAGTGCAGAGGAGGAGAGGGAGCGCTTCTTTTACATAAAACCATGTAAAGCAGGCCTCGCTTTTGTTTCTCCCTCCCAACTACAAAATGGATTACCACACGAAGGAGGAGGAGGTGGTGAGGAGGAGGGGGTCATTCTCTTGTTTTTTGGGGGGGTTTTTGGTGTTATTTTTTGAGGGCAGTAAAGTAGTAAAGCTACAACAATGAGGCTTAATCCTTCAGATTTCCAACATCCATCCTCAGTTGAATAGTCAAAGAGGAGGAAGAGGAGGCAGGGGGAGCTCGACCTGTTGATGAAGACACTAAGGACTTTCAGGGTGTTATTCAACCCAAGCAAAAGACGGAGAGTTTAAAAACTACCAAAAAAAGAAAGAAAAAGAAAAATCAGCCAATGAGATCATTGTGTGACCTCTGACCTCTCCACTCAGACACAGGAATACTTTTGCTTTCTCCCCCCCCTCCTGTTTGTCTGCTTATCAGAAGGATTATTCTTAAAGGTCTGCATAAAAATCTGAAGAACTGAGTTTAACTTAGACGTGATGATCTTCCAGAGCTAATCTAGATCCAAATCAGGGAGTTTTTAGAAGGAAACGTTTGACATTTTCAGTCAAATGTCATAAAAACTGACTTTTTAAAAATAATAAGAAAAAATAAATAAATAAAACAAACTAATCCAGTTCCTGCAGGTGAGGGTGCTCCTACGTCTTTTTAAAATAACTACATAAATAAAACTGAACTGAAAGTATTTTTACTAAACACTGTCTCAGGTGTGCAAACTTCAAATACTTAAAGATTTAATTTAAAGATTAATCACAGCAATCTCTGAAATAACCCGAAGATAAATAAAAATAAATTAAATTATTTAAAGTGCACACACACATAACATAATATTTTTGATCAAGATTAGCCTCTAAAGGTCCAGACTGAACCAGCATCTAAACTGCGCCCTGCACCAACACTCGCCTTAATAAATTTTTAAAAAGCGCATTTTTTGCGCGTCTTTTCTGAAATTGCGCTGATTTTCTGCGTCACAAAGGAACACAGCGCCAGTCAGGTTAAAGGCGCACATTTCCATGACTTACACCTGTTCTAGTGCGACCACCAACCAGAAAACGTTCCCGCTCTGGAGCCTTTTAGCTGCAGGAGTTCGCCCGTGACCAAACGGCCACAAAGACGGGCGCCCCCCGCCGGGCTGCACGCAGGAGTACCACCTCCTCTCTCTCCTCTTTTATTTTTATTTTTTAATTTCCATTAGAAGAGTTTAACCGCCTCTCTGAATATTCACCAGAGCAGAGTTCAACCCCTCTGAGGCCTTTTCTGTCCGTCTGGCAGCAGCGAGGAGCGGCTGGAAGCGTTTGGGGAGCCGCCGGTTCACTCCAACTTCCAGAAAAACTTTTCACGTCCTAAACACATTTACCCCACAAACTAAAAATCCACCTCATTGCTCAGGGGGTTGAATTCACTGTTTTATATTTACCCCCCACACGCACTCTCCTACACACACACAACCCGCAGCAGAGCATCTGAGGCCCGGCGGAGCGTCCCGGCTGCCCCCGCGGAGACTCCCCGCTTCTCGGTAAAACGAAACATTAACATTTCAGCCACTGAAACAGCTCCTGTCCTCTCCCCTGTCACCATAAACACGCGTGGCAGCAGATTATTATCACAACAAAGCGTGAAAATTTCACTTCATCCGCAGAAATCTGCCCCAAACGCGCCGCCCCGACGCACGGCCGAGCGGGCCCGAGCCGAACGCTGCGCGTAAAGACGCCCCGACGAGCCGCAAATCTGACACGGATCAGAGTTTAACCTCTGAGAAACTGCGCCGGAGGAGTGCGAGAGCACACAAGCGGGCTATTTTCTAACCAACCATTAACGTGAAGCTCGAAGGCGAGCTGACACGAAGGGTTAACTCCGAAAAAAACCCCAGCTTTTCTCGCTCGACACGAGACAGAAACCCAGTCAAATTGACCCTGAGAATACCAGCCCAGGATTAGAATCCGAGGCTCTTTGTTCCGCTCCTCTGCGCGCTCATGGGATGGATTTCAGTCTAGTTATTACTATTATAATTTTTATTTAATTATTATCATTATTATTATTATTGTTACTACTACTACTGCGTCTGGGGGGGTTTCTGAGCGGCACTTACTTGGTGTTTGTTGTGTTCCAGTAGATGGACTCCAGGATGAGCGCCCGGCACAGGTCCACTTTCAAGGCAATAAACAAAACTCCAAAATAATATCTCCACATCGAGTCCCCCATGGTGAGCCTGTGCGCCTTCAAACCAGCCAAACGTCCACACTGGGAGGAGAATGGGAAAAATAAACAACAACAACAACAAAAAAAGGCTCCAGAGAGACAGAGAGGGCTGAGGAAAGTGTTTTCAGCTTATATCCCGATCCAGGGGGGATGCGCACGGACCACAAACCCCGATCAGAGCATCTCCAGATGCACCAAAAACCAAACGGCAGCAGTTCATTCGGCGCACAGTGCGTTTGTATTCTCCCCGCTCAGCGCGTAAAGGCTGGAATACATCCCATCAGAGAGCAAATCAATACCAATATAAATCCCTCTGCGTTATAGTCCAGCAAAATCCAGCAGCAGCACAGAAAAGGAGAGATGGCTGGTGGTGGTGGTGGCTGTTGTTGTTGGTGGTGGTGGTGGTGAGATATTCCCTCTTTCTTTCAGCTGGTGAGCAACAAACTGTGGGTGACAGCAGCAGAGAAATGAGGAGAGCGAAACAATGAGGTCGGGTGGTCAAAATGAAGAAAATGATCACATGTGAGAATGAAAGAAATAAAAGGAGCTGGGATGGAACTTCTCATACTATACACCCCTCCAAAAAACGCACACATTCACGGATATAAACACACACATACACACACACCAAAGTGTTTCTGCTGCTGCGGCGCAATCCTGCAGATCCGTCCTCCCGCAAAATAAACCAAAGCGCGCAGGGAGGATGAAGCCTCAGCGGCTGCTCCGAAACCTGGATGGAAAGTAACTGCAAGGGACGGCTACTGGGAATATTTGCTGAGCATAGGCCCCGCCCCCAGCGGCCGCTGATTGGTCCTCGTTTGGTTGGGGAAGTCAATTGGAGCCGGGCTGTCACTCAAAGAGGGCAACTGGTTCAGTTCAGAGGGGCGACTGTGCGCAGAAATGGGAGCCGAAAACCCACCGACTCACAGTCCAGCCGGAGTCCGTGCAAATTCACCCACATTTTAGCATCAGGTATAAACCGAAAAACGAGGGAGTGCGAGCGTAAAGCTCCTCATCTCACCTTTTTAAAGGTTTACGCAGCGCACCGGAGTCCATGTAAATAAAGTGCGTTTTTGCTCCGCAGCGCGTTCATTGCAAAAGAAACATCATGAAAACATTTGCTCCCATCGGGCTCGTACACGGGACTGTGTGTGTGTGTTTGCTGCAGGAGCTCACACACGTACACACTCACACACACTCGAACTCAGCAGGTCGAGTTTTTCCGCAAGCCAAGAGCGCCCACTAGCGGAAAATCTGCATCAGAGACAGCCGAAGAAAAAGATTTAGGTTTATCTTACTTCTAAATTAAAGTTTAAAAAGGAAAAAAAGGATAAAATATATAGTTTTAATTAAGAAGGAGTGACTCGGGACAGAGTTTAATGGATTTAAAGGAGGAATTTAAACACTCTTAAAGGTTAAAAGGGAGTTTTTCTATGTGCAGTTTTTTTTGCCCTTTAATAAACGTTTTCCACTTTTCTAGAAACTCAGACTGATTAACATGAGTCATGACCTGCATGTTCACTCTTAGCTGTCATTAAACACGTTCACACCTTTAAAACGTTTTTTAAAGGCTCGGAATGACGTTTCAGGACTCGGTCCCTCCAATGGAGACATTTTAGAGACTGTTAACATGCCCACACTTTGTCTAATTCACTTTTTATATTTTATCTCATACCTGTGTATTGACATGAAACACATTCGCTCTTTTATGAAAAAAAGGGTTTTACAGGATTAAAGTTTTTCCCCTTTAATAAATAAAAATTCCAGCCTTCTGACATTCTCACAGTTGGTTTAAATAATAAAAACGAGACTTTTTACCCGTTTATTCCCCTTTTATTGAGATTACAAACATTTGACCATTTTGAAACGTCTTTAGAGGCCCCAAACCAGTTTATTTCTCTGTTTCAGGACTTCCCCCTTTAATAAAAAATATTTAATATGCTCAGACTTTGCTTAATTACTTCTAAAAACATTATTTCCCGCCTGTGTGTTGCCCAGTAAATTAAATGTACACACATTCACACCTTTAAATAAACATTTTCAGGGGATAAAAATTAGTTCTGCTGTGTCCTAGGACTCCTTTCCTGTAATAAATAATATTTTCCAGCCGTCAAACATGCTCAGCCTTCGTTCAATTAACTCTACAAACATTATTATTACTGTTTTATCTGTTTATTGAAATGAAACAGTCACACCTGCTGACTTTTGGTAAACAGCTTCTAATTTAATGAGCACTCCGCTCTGTGAAGTTTTCACACTCTCTCACACTTCACGCTATCTGCGGTTTTAAAGTGGATTGCGGGTGTTTGTTTTGCGGATCTTCACCCGGGAGATAATTGAGGAGTCCCCCCGTCCTCCCCTCTCCTCTGCCGGCCCGGAATCAACACACAGAGCTGCACTCGAAGCTGGATGTTTATTGTCAGAGCTTCACTTTAATTGAATTTAGATGCCGGATGGGCACAGCTCTAAATATGCTTTACTGTATTATTGCTGCTGAACCTCTAGTCTGTGACAAACCTACAGGAAAAAATATATATCATCCTTTTCTCACCTGAAAGTCCTCATGAGCAGCCTTTAATCCCCACTATTTGTTTTTATTGATGTTTCTAATTGTTTCTGTTTGAATCAGGACAGACGAAGCTTCTACCAGTCTTAAAAGCTCTTCCTGAAGCCGTCGGGCCACGAAAGCGTCTGTGCCCAAAGATCAGCCAAAACAAGCGTAAAACACACGCACGCACGCACTTACCTGTGACTGTCTGACACTTAGAAACAGGAGGTCAGTCTGCACAGGATTTAAACTCGCCTCTGTTTTTTTCAGCAGCGTTAAAAGATGTAGGGAGTTGCGTGGAAACTTAATTTCATTCAAGTTTGTGGAAATAAAAGTGGTTTTAAGTTTCGTGTAAGTTCGGTTCAAGAGAAATTCAAGTTAAAAAACACCTTTTTTTTCTTGCACACCTTTACTTCCTTACAGACAGGTGAGGAGGAAGAGGAAATAAGTTCATTCCAGGTAAAAGGAAACAGTGCGGGATGTGTCTCTTATCCAAAAACTATGAAAACACACTGTCGTTTAAAAACTCCCCCGTTTCACTGTGTTTTAAGGAACTCTACTAAGGCTCAGTTGTGTTTTTACACCCTAAACTTGCTCCAGCAGGTCCGGGCTCCGGTCAGCTGCAGCGGGACACGCAGCAGCGCTCAGCCCGCAGAGGAGCGCACCGCCGCGGGCTGTGGGTCCGCCGGGCACCCGGGTCGGGCGGTGGATGTTTTCGCAGCTTCTGTGACAGTCTCACCGACGTGTGGCTCCAGACTCAGAGGGACCGCCTGACTCCGGCAGGAAGTCACAGTATGAATAAATGAACCAATATTTTATTTAGCTCGGTTCTGTGCACCGCTTGGAGAGCATTAACAAAAATAACAAAGTAAGTTGTAACCTGCACCTGCAGGCTTGGTTTCGGTTTGAATCATATGAGCTACTCTCACCGCTCTGTAAATATTATTACATTTAAACTGAAGGCTTAAATTAAGCTTTCATCCATTCATGTTTTAATAATTTTATTTAGTGCCTCTATAAAAGCCGTGGAGCCCTAATGGCGCTGCTTTGTTCTGCCTGCAGACACTTGGGTGAGGTCTGATGGTGGTTTACATGTTTAAACACAGTAGTTATTTACCTCTGACATTTACACTCACAGCACCTTTTCTAGTTCCCGATTTACTTTGAGAAATGAACGCTTATTGTCAAAATATATGTAATGTGCATTGACCATGCTAAAATAATTCAAACTGCATAACATGTGTAAATAAACAGCAAGTCAATGTAACTGTCCATAACCTCAACATTAAATTTTTTTTTTTTACTAATTTAAAACTAAACCTACATATTTAATTCTCAGACTGACTTGTGATTTGAGCTTTATTAGTTTGAAAGGAGGTAAACTGAAACAAATGAACTCCCAATTTAAAGTTTAAATGATAATTTAGCTAATCTAGGCCATCTTAAGATACTGGTGCTAATTTCTTTAAAACATTTATTTTTATTCTTTTTGGAAAAAAAAAAAAAAAAAAAGGAAAAGCACAGAAGCAGCACTTTTAAAGTGCGGGAAAAAAATCAACAAGGCTATAGCTACAGCTATTACTAGCTAACCTAGCCAAGTTATTTAGAAAATAGCAACCGATGCCGACATTTGTTTCCAAAGAGTATCCTCGGCCATATAAACCAAATTAAAACGAACATAAATATAACAGCCCATGTACTCATTAAAAAAAACAAAAAAACCCCCACAAACACAAGGACAGGCACAAAGGAAATAATAAATAAATTATTTATGTAAAATCAGGTAAAACTCCTAATAGAGGCAACTAAGGTCGGCTAGGTTACTGTTCACTAAGCTAATTTAGCAATATTTCGTTCTTTGTTTAGTACCATTTATGCGATATAGAACTGAATCACAAAATTGTTTCAGCAATAAAATGAATCTTTTTTTTAAAGAGGGAAAATGGTCATTTTAGCTAAGCTACAGTGAACGCTATCAAAAGCTAACTTATTTCACTTGAAAAAAAATAAAATAAATCAAACCACCATCTTTTTCTTAGTAATTAGCTTTAGTGCCCAAACCCAACCAGACATTCAAAACTAATTAAATAATATAAAAATAATTTACTAACAAACATTTTTTCCAGATTGTGTTAGCTAGCAAGACTAAGCTTAAACACGGAAAAAGTTTATTATATCCTGTGAAATCTCAGTGCTTCTTGTTAAAAATATTAAACATTCAAGTAGGTTCACCAGGATAAGCAGTTTGAATCTGCTCTGGGTTATTTGCAGTCTACCCCATTGCTTTCGGTCTCCCAGCTTTCCTGTGCCATAATAATTAAAGATAAATAAATAAAAACCTATTTTAGTATTATATTAAAGCTTTAAACTGACATTCATCATAAAAAAAAAAGTAGTTTTATTAATTTATTTTTAATTTTTATTATTTGCATGTTATATTGTTCAGGTGTTTTTCTGGTTTTATGGTACTATGTGAAATCCAAACATTTCCAAATATATTAAACATTTCTAGAGTAAAATAAAGAAAAGTGTGGTCTTGTATATACTGTCAAGTTTTGGGTTACATTTTTCCTTCAGCCGTTTTTTTTTTTTTTTTTTTAATTTATTTTAAGTAAAGCTTTGCTCTTTGGTTTTATGCTTATATTGCTGGTCCATCTCCATTCAGCAGAAAGCACTTTGGGTTTGCCCGTTTTAAAATGGACCGCAGCATTTTGGGTTATTCCTCCGATTAGCAGAGCTCAGCCTGGTGACCCGAGTTTAGTAACTCGCCACATTAATATCACCATCCGTCACCGCTTCACTTACACCCTCAAACGCAGGTTGACAGTTTCGATTGG